TTCACGCATCGACTAATTCAACACCAAAAGTTTCTGGTTTCAGTCTATTAATTATATTTAACATGTTTTGATTTGAGCTTTTAACTGTTAAAACTTTACATTTTAGTATTTAGGTCTCTGGCGCCCTCTAGCAGCAGAGTGATGGGCCTGCAGCCTCCTGACGAACATCCTGCAGCAGTGAGGAGCGGAAAATGTTAAAAACTAAAAAGATTTAATAAAAAAAAAATAGTGAAAGGAGTTGTGATGTCAGACGCTGAGGTGAAGGGGCTGATGGGAAACAAACGGGTCTAAACCGACATGCTGTTAAAGCTCAAACGTGCAAAGTTCTGCTTTTTGTGTCTCTGCTTCCTCCGATCCAAACAAACGTTGCCAGAGGTTCTGGCTGGAAAAAAAAAAAAAAAAACACAACAGCCAAAAGAAAAAGAACCAAAGAATTTGTGTTGTACATTTTTGAACTCTTGTTCTTCTCCTCTGAAATCCTCCGTCCTTAAACATTAAGGAGCTGTACCGTGTGATGTCACTTCCTGTGTGCTTCCAAGGAAAGGAACATGAAGCCTTGGGGAGATGGATGGAAGTAGAGGTGAGGCTGCCGTCCGCCGGTCCATGCTTCTTTCCAAAATAAAACAAAGTGATGAAGAGGAGGAGAGATGAAGCCGGCGCCGGGTCTCATAACTTCTCCTTGGACAGAACCCAGATGAAGGGACCAGACTGCTCCTCGATGATCTGCTTCACCTGCTCGTAGATCTCCTCCAGCGTGTCGCCTTGAACGATGGCTGCAGGAACAGAGCGACACATCGGGTCAGAACTCGATCCAGCAGGTAGAGGGACCAGCGGGCCCAGCAGAACCACACAGAACCCTGATAGACTCCAGGACCCGCCTCACCTGTGAAATGCTCAGTGAACTCCTGCTCCAGCTTGGCGGCTCTGTCTAAGGTTTTCCGGCCCTGCTCCTCCGTCAGACGTTTGTTCATCTCCCTGCAGGAGAAGCAGGAAGGTTTCAACCAAAAACGAAACACCAGAACCAGATCAGTAACACCGGACCGGAACACTCACATGATGTTCTCCACAGATTTGGGTTTGATGAAGATGGCGATGGGGTGAAGCAGAGCCAGCTGGAGCCTCTTGATGGCGTTGCCCGACACGTCTAGGATGCAGTGTTTACCCTGAACAGAACCAAGAACCCAAACATGATGTTCTGATGCCTCTACAGCTGAGATTCAGACAGTCTGCTCGTCCATGTAGGGATGTTTCTGAAACAACCAGGAAAACCTGAAGCATGTTCTTCCCTCTGGTTCCGTACCTTCTCTGCCACCTCTCGGACCGACTGGACGCTGGTTCCGTACAGGTGGTTGTTGTACTGGCCCGCCTCGATGAACTTGTGATCCTGGATGTCCTTTTCCATCTGCTCTCTGGAGACCACGAAGTGGTAATCCCTGCCGTCCACCTCGTAGTCTCGTTTGGGCCGGGTCGTATCTGAGAGCGGGACGAGGAACAGAGATCAGAACGGGTCAGGTATCCTCTGGAAAGACAGAACCAGGGGAAAGTCGGTGGGACCTACGTGGGACACAGGAGCCGAATTTATCGGGGAATTCTGAGATCAGGTCGTCGTTGATCCGGTCCTTCATGGGTCCCAGGATGATGACGGGTCGAGTGTAGTTCACTGCCAGAGGGGAGGGAAAAAATTGATCCAGATCCGATCAGAAATGTTCTGGTTTTAACTGGAAAAATATTATTTTTAATATGAAGAAATAAGCTTCATATCATGAGGTTTTATTTACTCTAATGAAAGGTCATAGCTGAATTGTCCAGCAGGTGGCAGCATAACAATCTTTATACTCTATTCATTAATTCTCTCAAACTTCAACCTAATTTATGAGTCATGAGGCCAAATTCCTTAGTCTGAAAGCTGAAATTCCTCTTTCATTATAACACTGTGATTATAATCATTTATCCATCCAATCTAATCATTAAAATGTAAGAATAAAGTTTTGTGTTTGATCAAACATCACATTAGTTTTTTTCATATCTATCAAGATATATCTCCATTTCCTCTTATTTTTTTACTTTAAAAATTCATAATAAATTTGTACTTTCAAATTTAATTGTATTAATAAAATCCAAATTTATTTCTATATGTATATCTGATTACTTTAAAAAAAAATCACACCCTTCTATTAAACGGTGGTCAGACTATTTACTGTCTCTCATTTCGTATATTGATCGATCCTATTTACTCACTATAAAAATGTTCACTCATCCTGTTTTATCTGTAAGGCCGTTTGTAGACCAGCCATAGCTTCTTCCCATAACAAACCAGATTCTTTCAAGGTTTATTCATTACATGTTACTGTTATAACTCCGACTACTTTCCATTGTTCTAATTAAAGGGGGAATGAACGCTGCCCAGGCAGAACAGGGCTGATTACCATGCAATAACGGCCGTATGATGAACTGTTCTCTCTTTACAAAGATAAAAAGAAGCGCCGACTCCAATTATTTAACTAAAGTAAATAGTTTAATAGTTTTTTTCTCACTACAACATATAAAAAAATGTTTTTTCCATTGTGAAATTTCTCTTTTGAAGGTGATTTTAACAGCTTTTAGCCTCCTGAGATAATATTAATGAAGAAATGATTTAAGCCTGGGAATCTATACGAGTCGGTGAAGCTCTGAAGTCCTTCAGCTCCATTTCTCTCCATTTGGACCTCAGTTTGTTTTAAAGCTGCTTTTCTGTCATCTAGATCTGAATTATTTTACTCTGTCAGGAAACAACTCTTGGTCCTTTTCTGGCGTTTCAGCGGGTTCTTGGTTCGGGGTTCATGACCTCGGTTAGACTGGAGGAACCTTTTTAACATTTCACAGAGACTCACCTTCCTGCTGAACAACCGGCTCATAGGACAGAACGTACTCCTCTGCTCCACCTGAGAGTAAAAAGAGAAATGTTGACAAGGATTCAGCTGGAGGAGGAGGAGTAATGCTGAGGGATGAAGGCCAAGGAGGAGGAAAAGAAACTCAGATATGTTTAACCTGCAAAAATCATAAAACTAACTAGATATTAGAGAAAAAGCTTAATTTAAAATATATATTCAAAAAAAAAAGTCTCTTTAAATTCTTAAAACCTAACAGGTTTAGATCATTTGGACAAGAAGCAGTGATTAGAGATGAAAGTAGAGCCCCTGATGTTAAAACCAGATTTTTTTTTTTCTTTAATGAGGAAAAAGCTTCAGAAAAGCAGATGTTAGGTTTCATGCTCCATGTTTTTTCTGTAGGCCTTACATTTTTCATCACAAACATCAAGAATCAGACCTGAGCCTAAAACCCATCAGGAGAGGTTCCAGTAACACTAGAAAGGCTCTTAAACTCTGTTATTAAAGCCTTAATGTGACAATTTATAAAAAACATCAACCTCTTCATATCATGCATTTAAATAATGATTCCAGGTTTAGGTCTTTTATAGAGGAGTCATTTCTGAGAGGGCAAAAAAAGAAGGGGAAATAGTCTGGGAATGAAACGATGGGAAACGATGAAGCTCGACAATAAGTTAACTAATCATAGATCAGGCAAACTTCCTACAGAGATTATAATTATCCGTCAAGATCATCAGCGGAGTTTAGGACCATAAATATAAACCTAAAAACCCTGAACTACAGGGTTTAAAACATAGTGGAACTTTGGAAGCCTGTCTGCCCAATCAGCAGAGTTCATCCAGCTATAAACACCAATCAGCAGCCAGACTCCATTAAGTCCCTGTAGTGATAAACATTTCTTTTCATAGTTCTCTTTAATACAGGCTGCCACTATAAGGTGACTAACACTCTGAGGAGAAAAGGCTG